TTTATTTTTGACAGACAGCCTTATCAAAACATCTGCATGGGAATTTTATAAGAGCATTTTACAGTATCTGTTGAGCAACACAGTCATTTTCATATTCAAGATTATAAAAGTGACTGAAGATAATTTTATTTACACATACTCACATGCACACATATATTTATATGCAAAATATAGGAATGTTTTCCTTTCTAACTGCTTAAGCTCAGACAAGGGTTGTTAACAGGTAATCTTCATGGCATTGACTAGACAGATCAACTATGAATGTCAACAGTGGACTGAATTTCAGTCTTTTTTTAAGCACACAGTACTAAACAGTTGACTACTTACCTGAGGCTTGCTCTTGCTTCCATTTAACTTGGAGGAGTAGTAGATTCATTATATGGGAAATGCTGCATTTCTGCTTTTTCCCACTGCTAAATGCAATTTAATTGGCTCAATGAATGCAGCATGCAATATTTGTATGTCCTTATAGTTCCTTAAGAATATGCTGTACATTTTTTCCAGAGACTTTGTTAGACTTTGTTAGAGTTTGCTAGCCATTTATGAAGGATCAATTATCTGTGATTAGAAAATAGCTGAATATGCCAACATGCTTGTTCATTACTTTTAAACAGTAATTTAGGAGAAGTTTTCCACCTTAATTAAAACCTTAGTGTATTTTTGCACATATTCAGCACTCCCTTAGAAATATAGGAAAGAAAAGCTCTAACAGAGCAATTGCCAACTCATCCCTTTTTTTCATCTATAAATTCTCAGTTCTACAAGCAAGAAAGAGATGCACAATTCCTAGTAAAAGAAGGATTAAAGAAGCACTTGAGATTTTTTATCTGTTTGCAAACAACTTGCAGGTGAAACTTACTTCACTGGCTCTGGAAGTTGTTGTGAGCTTCCAGCGGCTACTTGGTTTAATACTCAATAGAGTAATTTCTAAAAGAGATGCTCAAAAGGACCTCTGCTCAAGATCATATGTAATGTCACAGTTGAGATATTCACTTTAAGTATTGGTCCACTTGGTTCCCATCTCTGCTCCTGACCAGGTAAGAAAGGGATATCAAAAGATCAGATAAGTACTGTGCCATGTGGATGGAGGAATAACACTGACTGGCTCCTCCACTCCAATCTCATTTATTAGGAGGGATAGGAGCCACTGATACACCTAACTGTGTTCAGGAGAGGACTCTAAGACAGTAAAATGGCACAGGCAAAGAAATAACTATGGTGGGATATAGAAAAATTAAATGTTCATATCCCTGATCAGAATGGCATGAAAAAGAAATAAACTACCTTGCATTCATCAACTTTATCACAGGGAAAGAGCATGCACATAGAAGTTAATCACAAAAGCAGCTGCTTTAGTACATCAGCAGCAAGTTACCTCCCAGTAATTCCTTCTACCTCAAAGCACTCCTTACTTTCCTGGGTAGGATTTAAACTGCAGCCTCTCTTTAAGATCTTTAGGGGCTTTCAGATATCTCTGCTCAATGAAATTTCGGTTTTTATCATGTGCATTGGTCTGGCAAGTACCATTTTTGTTGTGAATAGGAGAGTCCATGTCCCTTACACAGAGGTGTGCAGCCATCAGTTGACACTGCCCGTCCTTTGGCTCACTGGTGTTCTGGCTAGCTCCTAGGTTCTTGGCCGATGGCAGTGCCAAGAGCGGGGAACCACGTGGGGACTATGCCTCCCAGCATGGAACCTCCAGAGCTCTACACACTCAGGGCTCTGTACGTCTCAGGGTGTCAGCGGTCGTGGCGAAAGGATCTGAGAGGACTCAACTTCTTCAACTTCCCAGGAACAAGTTTATTTGTAGGAACGGGGAATGGGACGAGGAATAGGGCTGGGAACACAGGAAGAAAGCTGAGCCGAGACTCCCCGAGCACCTCTGTGCCTCGGGTTTTAAGGACAAGGGGCGGTCAGACCATGAACCAATGGGAATGCCACGAAGGAGGAGTCGGGGGAGAGGATTACAATATTAAGGGCCAATGGTAAGGACGCAGGGGAGGGACGGCAGCTATACAATCAATGGGGCGTCGAGGAAGGGGTGATGGGCAGGGAAGGATCTAGGGCAAAGGGTTGGGTTTACACTGACAGACATAGGTTGGGGGCAGGATGAGGGTGATGGATAGGGAACTCTCTGGAAAAAGGGGAGGGGTTTACAATGATTGATAACTGGGGACAAACCATTCTGGGAATAGCAGGGGGACAACTGGAACAGACCAACTTAAATTTGACAACACCAAACAAACAGGCGGCAACATCTCCCCCTTTCTTTTTCAAGAAGAGGAAGGTGTGGGGTCTGGGGGAGCAGAGGGCACAGTAAACCATTCATTGGAGGGGGAGGGTTGAGGAGGAGGATGGGAAATAACACAATTGACTTGAGGTGGAGGGGATACAAGGTGTAGGACGGATTGAACCAAACATTTTTTTAACACTGCGAAAGCAGCAAAAATCATAAAAATGACAAAAACAACCCATAACACAGTTCGAATAATGGAGGAGAGCCATCCGGACACACCCCATCCTGAGAACAAGTTGGTGACCCAGTCGCCAGTTTCCTGATGGATCTGGTGGATCATGCCCTTCATCTTGGAGATGGTCTTCCGGATGTCGGGGCTCCTGCTAGTAAGGTTTAGGCAGCAGAGCCCTTCAAAGTCTCTGCAGTCATGGTTATGTAGGAGCAGTAAGAAATCGATGGCCGCTCGGTTTTGAAGAGTGGCTCGCCTGGTTATCTCCTCATCTTCGAGGAGGTCGCTCAGCGCAGTTGACGTCAAATTGGCCTGCTTGACCACCCAACACTCGAACTGGCCTAATTCACCTAGGGCCTGAGCAGCGGCCAACCATGGCAAAAACACGGACACTGCTACCCGTTTTGGTTTGCTCCAATGAAAAATTTCGGAATCACAGTCTGGACCTAGATTTTCCAGACTGCACTTCTTAATGTCCGAATCATTTTTTGGAGTCCAATTCTCAATTTGGGTCATACTGGGGGAGAACAGGGACATCCAGCCTAAGGTACACGGCCCTCCAAGAAGGCAAGAGGGGATGCCAGCCCATGCCCGGTCTCCACAAATTAAAAACATGCTTTTTGGTAATTTAAGGGGACAAGAATCTAGGGTGGAAGGCATCTTCACGTGTGCGATGTTTCTGCACCATGCAGCTGCTGTGAACTGCTTATTATCTTGTATAATTTGTGGATATAGGGCAGGATTGCTTGGGTAATAACGGAACTGAATGCAAAAGGGTGCCGGGGAAGAATTTAACAAATCAAATTCTTGAGGCTCAGCGACTGCCCGCTCTAGGTGGGCTTGCCAGTCTCTCCTAAGGAGGAGGGGATTCTGGACAGGCCTCTTTATTTTATAAGATGGAATAGAGCGGACTACTCGCTGAGCTGGCCTACCTTTGTTGGCCTCTTTCATTAATTCCATTAAGGATTCTGGGTACTCTTCTGGCTTCAATGGGATCCCCACCAGGCAAGTGGTCATCGGGTTTCCTGCTGCCCCGGTAGACAGACATAGCTCATCTCGCTGCAGAGACTTCGCTAGCATTACCCAAACGTTTTGTTTGGGTTGGGGCACAATCCACATGACTGCTTGGGTCACCAGCAGGATCAGGAGTGTGAATCCCAGGGAGATGCTTGATGTCGTCATCTTTGGATGGCTCTCTGCAATAAAGAGATAGATATCTTACTCATCATAACAAGGGGGATAATGCATCGAAACGGAAAGGGGATTTGAGGTTTTCCTCCTCCTCTTCTCTTTCAGGGGTTATGAGGGTGGCTTGTACGGACATGAAGTTATCCTCTTGTTCATCTGGCGGCCTGGTAGGGTGTTTTGGGACATAAGGCTTCACCCACTTCTGTGGGATCCACCTTAGTCCTTGGGGTGAGGAAACACAAGTGTATCCTCGCCCCCAGGTCACCAGATCGAACGGATCCAGGACCTTTTGGGTCTCTGGGTCTCGGACCAGCACTGGAGGGCGATGTTGGAGCTTATAGTTGCTGGTGGACTGGAAGTGCCGGGCCACTGGAGGGTTGGGGTCGTTATCACTGCAATTCAAAAAATTAATGGTAAATAAGGCCTTGCACAACCTCTCCTGAGGTGTGCAGCTTCTCATGGTCCCTTTTTGATGGGCTAGGACACGTTTGAGCGATTGGTGGGCTCGCTCGACAATCGCTTGGCTGGTGGGGGAGTGTGGGATGCCTCTTTTGTGTTCTACTCCCCACTCTTGCAGGAATTCTTCCAGTTTCCTGGAGGTATATGCTGGGCCGTTGTCCGTTTTGAGCTCCTTGGGGACCCCCAGTGTAGAGAAAGCCTGCATGAGGTGTTTACAGACTTGTTTGGCTTTCTCCCCTGTGTGTGCAGAAGCAAAGACCACGCCCGAGAAAGTGTCGATGGAAACATGTACAAACCGAAACCTCCCAAACTCAGGGATATGCGTCACATCCATCTGCCACACTTCACAGCTCCCCAGGCCCCGAGGGTTAACCCCCGACCCCAGGGAGGGCATGGCGGTGGTCTGGCAATGCGGACATGTGGCCACAATGGCTCTGGCCTGATCTCGCCGCAGATGGAATTGGCAGACCAGACCAGGCACATTCTGATGGAACATTTGGTGGCTCAGCTTGGCTTGTTGGAACAGGTCGGGGAGCTGAGCCATTGAAACAGGGGTAGCGAGGGAATCAGCTATTCTATTCCCTTCGGCTACCGGGCCAGGGAGGTCCGTGTGTGATCTCACATGCATCACAAAGAAACGTTGCTTTCTGTGGAAAACGGCGTAGATTAATGCAGAAAGCAACTCAAACAGCTTCGGGTTCGAGATCTCCTTTAGGGCTGCATGCTCAGCCCTTGCAACCACCCCTGCTACGTAGGCTGAATCTGTTACCAAATTGAAAGGTTCAGAAAACCTCTCAAAGGCCCTAATGACTGCATCCAACTCAGCAATCTGTGCTGAGATCCTTCCACATATTTAACGTCTGTCTCCCATTGCTGAGTCTCGGGATCTCACCAAGTCACCACAGACTTGTGAGATGCCCCGGATGCGTCAGTGAAAACAGTTAAGGCTTTGAGGGGCTTCCTGCTCCGCACCTCTTTAGGGATCACATTAAATTTAGCGTTGAAAAATTTGTGCACAGGGGCGTGGACTGAAACTTGTCCTTCATAACTATCAAAGACAATTTGGAGGATCTTGTTTTCCCAAAGCAGTTGATTGAACATCTCTTTTGTCAGCCTATCCGGGGACACCTTGTCCCAAGACAAGTTGACCGGCACTCGAATGCATGCAAAATCACACCCGGCCATCTCCCTAAGCCTAGCTCGAGCTCTCCCGATAAGCTGAGCCATCAGTTCCTGTGGCCGGGTGACACTTTTGGACCTTTGATGACTCAAGAAAACCCACTCTATGATCAAGAGGGGATCCTTAGAGCCTTGGTCCCATTGAAAAATCAGCCTGCACAGGTGTGGCAGCCTCCCTAATACAATGAACTCGAATGGTAGGGTTGGTTCATACCAATGCGCCTGTCTTTTGACCAGGGCATCTTCCACTTTCTCCAGGGCTTTCCTCGCCTCTGGGGTCAGGGTCCTGGGAGAACTTAGCTCCTTCTCCCCCTTCAGAAGTACCAAGAGGGGGGCTAGGTCCTCAGTAGTGAGGCCCAGCCAAGGCCTGACCCAGTTCAAGGTTCCACACAGCAAATGGAGGTCCGCCAAAGTCTTTGGATTGCTGTTAATGGCCAATTTTTGAGGCACAACGGTCCTCTCAGCAATCCGCAGACCCAGATACTTCCAGGGCGGCATCCTCTGAACCTTATCCTCCTGGAGTAGAAAACCTGCAGATGTTAGAACGTCAACCACTCGGTCAAGAGATTACTTAAGTAGATTGTCATGGGGGGAGCATACCAGGACATCATCCATATAATGATGGATGATGACCTCCCCCAGTTTGGCGCGCAGAGGGGACAGCAATGAGGAAACCTACCACTGGCAGATGGTAGGTGAGTTTTTCATGCCCTGAGGCAATACTCGCCAGTGTAACCGCCTCATTGGGGCTTCTCGGTTAAGGGTTGGAACTGAGAAGGCAAACCGCGGGGCATCATCAGGGTGTAGAGGAATTTGGAAAAAAACGATCTTTGATATCAATGATAGCCAAATTCCAATTTCGGGGGAGCATAGTCGGGGTTGGCATCCCTGGTTGAAGGGGCCCCATGTCTACAATGACTTTATTAATAGCCCGAAGGTCGTGGAGGAGCTGCCACTTGTCCTTCCCTGGCTTCCGAATGACAAAGACCGGGGAATTCCAAGGGCTCGTGGTCTCGACTATGTTACCCTTTGCTAGTTGCTCCTCCACGAGCTCGTTGAGTGCCTTTAATTTACCTTTCCGAAGCGGCCACTGATCAATCCAGATTGCTTCATCAGTGGTCCAATCTAATTTCTGGAAAGGGTGCTCCACAGTGGCCGCTATCAAAAATCCCGAGGGGTTTTCGGGATTTCTATTTTCACACCCCACTGTGACATGAGGTCCCTCCCCCACAAGGGAACCTGAAAGTCCGCAACGAATGGGCGTAAATTTGCTAATTGCCCATCCGGCCCCATAATTTGCACTACGCTCTTTGAAATTTGTGCCAATTGGGTACCCCCTATACCCTGTTTTTGCCAGCCACGGGTTGCAATTCCCAATGTGACGGCCATCTCCTTTCGGGGATGATTGTCACATCCGCCCCTGTGTCAAGCAGACCCTTCATGTTTACAGATTCTACCCCCTGCTTGACACTGCAATCTATGATTGGTTTATTTTCCCCCACCACCTCTGCCCAGTAGACACCGGGGGCATGGTCGTCTACTGGGATATTCTCAGGGACAGGGATGTACTGTGCAATGATATGGCCTTTGGGGAGAAAGAATGGTGGGTGATTGCAACGCGCTAAAAGAATGAGATCTTCCGGACCACCTGGGAAGGTGATCGGGGAGATCTCTATCTCTGGGGGTGTATGCTTTGTGTCTCCGATGGCAATGTACTTACATACGTGTCTATCGTCCATCCGGTTTCCCTCCAGTGTGTCCACAGCAACCAATCTCCAGTGCTGGGACCAAAAGAGGATGTCTCTTACAGTTACTAAATGTCGTGTCCGGTGAATTGTCCAAGCCTGTGAATTTGAGCCCCCCTCCCCCGCGAGACCCGCCCCATTTATCGCTTCGCACGGGGCAGGTTCGCGCCGCTCTCCTAGTTTTTTTTTATTAAAACATCTTTTGCCCTCGCCCCCAAGTTGCTCCCTTGACTAGGGCGTGTGGATGGACAATCCCTAGCCATATGCCCTGGTTGTCCGCAGCGGTAGCAATGCAGTGGACGCGCTGGCGTTGATGGCAGTTGCTGCATCACTGCTGCGGTCGGCATCTTCCTCGACGGCGGCGGTGGTGCGGCCCTGGACCTCCTTGCCATCGGAGCTTTCTTAGTGCATGCTTTGATCAGGGTGTCCAGCGTTGGGGTAGGGTAGAGCGGCAGGCTGAAGATAATTTGTCTGCAGAGCTCATTTGCATTCGCTTTGGCGGCTTCCAGCACCAGTTGTTCCTGGAGCTCTGTCTTTTCAACTTGCTTTTCAACCTGCGTTTGCAATCTATTTATAAACTTAGTAAAGGGTTCATCTGGGAGCTGATAGATGTTCATTAGGCTGACTTGGGGTCCCTCCTCAGGCAAGGTATAAAACACTTTCTCAGCGGTCTCCATGATTTTTATTATCACAGGCCGGGGCAACACCCTGGCCTGCTCTTCTGGTTTATCCAAATCCCCCTCACCGCACAGGTGTTCTGAAGTTAGAGGGACTCCATCTGCGTCAACCGCATCATTACTGCGCAGAAGATCGGGAAGGATGGTTTCCAATGATCTCTTCCATCCCTGTTTCCACAGCCTAAAGTCGGCTGAGGAAAGGAGACAGGAAAACAATTCTCTTAGATCATGGGGAACCATTTCGTTTGCTGAGAAGGTAGCCTTTAATAATCCTTTAAAATATTTGCTACCTCTCCCAAACTCCTTCTGTGCTTTGCACAGCTCCCTCTTTGTTTGGAACGAGAAGGCTTCCCCTTCTCGGGACCGCCCTCCCCTCCCATGGAAAGTCACCGGAGCAGCAAGGGGGATATTTACCAGTTCTGGGTTCTGGTTCCCAGGCCTGCCTCCCCCGATTCCCAAAGCGGGGGAACCGGATGTTGAGGCGTGGGAACCGGATGTCAAGGCGTGGGAATCAGGAGCCGGAAGGGGCGGGACTGGAGGACCAACTGAGGAGGAAGGCGAGGGGGAGGAGCGGCAACTGGAAAAGGCGGAGTTTTGGGGCGTGGTGTTGTTAAGGTACGCCCCTGAGGAGGAGGAAACCCTCGAGGGGAAGTGGGAGGAGTCAGGGTAAGGAGAAGGGGAGGAGCTAGGGAGGAAGGGGTTGTACCTGGAGGAACGGAAAGGATTATGGGAAGAAAGAGCACAAGGGAAGGTTCCAGCCATGTGGTCCCCGCCATCTTATGCCTTTCGGGGGCCATTTTGAGGATCATAGGTAGGATAGGGGAACATAGGAGAATAATGGGAATGAGGGGAAACTGGGGAACAGTGATCCGGGGTCAGAGACTGGGGATTTATAACATAATTTAACGAGGGATTTTGAACCTGGGAAGCACTTAACTGGGGGTTTGCAACTGGGAAAGCAGGGGAATGGGTAGGTGCTCTGACAGCTTGGCCAGGGCTGCCAGGGCAAGGGTTATGAGGGAGACCCAGGGAGCCAGGGATCCTACAACCCTTAGGGGAGCCCTGCGCAGTACAGCTTGCTCTGCAGGTCACTCTGCAGGTCTCTCTCAACTCAGGACCAGAGGGAGAGGAACACGGGGAAGGAGGAACTGGGGAAACTGGGGACGATTGTACTAGTAGTTCTTGCATTTTCTTTTCCGCAATTAATGCAGTTCGAATTAAAATAAAAAGCGTAACTAATTTAGAGGCCGATTTATCCCCCTCATTCACTAGCTCTGTCAGTCTAATTCCAACAGAATTCCAAAATTCTACTGAATTCACTTCATTGGGGGTTATTTTTGGGAAATATAAGAACAACCATTTCACCAATCGCTTAACTCTCCCTTTCGAAAATTTTTTATCCCCCCCCTCAAGGGTACCCACAACTTGGTAATATACTCTCATTTGTTGAGCCGACATACGTGCCCCCATTCTGCCCCTGGCTCAACAATCCTACCACCCCCTGCAGCAAAAGGCAAACTTAAGGAACTAAAAATAAGGGTCAGGACTGGACTACAACACACACTCTCCCCCCACACAGGGGAGCAACACACACAGGGGGAAGCTGCACACTCGCACACCCCCTTTTTCCCCCACTGGCGAATACTCACCCGATCCTGAAAGTGGCTGCAAGGGATGTCCACGACCTTCAAGGCGATCTTCTGTGCGTCGAAGACTGCCGCCTTGATCCGCGGGAGCGCCACCCGACAAAAGTGGGTCTGCTCTGCACCGGGGTAGCTGCTGCCCACAGTCTTTTGTAAATCCACACAAGAGGCTTACACGACCACTCCGGGGGTCTCTAGTCCTCGCGAGAGAGGCCCCACGTTGGGCGCCAGCTGACACTGCCCGTCCTTTGGTTCACTGGTGTTCTGGCTAGCTCCTAGGTTCTTGGCCGATGGCAGTGCCAAGAGCGGGGAACCACGTGGGGACTATGCCTCCCAGCGTGGAACCTCCAGAGCTCTACACACTCAGGGCTCTGTACGTCTCAGGGTGTCAGCGGTCGTGGCGAAAGGATCTGAGAGGACTCAACTTCTTCAACTTCCCAGGAACAAGTTTATTTGTAGGAACGGGGAATGGGACGAGGAATAGGGCTGGGAACACAGGAAGAAAGCTGAGCCGAGACTCCCCGAGCACCTCTGTGCCTCGGGTTTTAAGGACAAGGGGCGGTCAGACCATGAACCAATGGGAATGCCACGAAGGAGGAGTCGGGGGAGAGGATTACAATATTAAGGGCCAATGGTAAGGACGCAGGGGAGGGACGGCAGCTATACAATCAATGGGGCGTCGAGGAAGGGGTGATGGGCAGGGAAGGATCTAGAGCAAAGGGATGGGTTTACACTGACAGACATAGGTTGGGGGCAGGATGAGGGTGATGGATAGGGAACTCTCTGGAAAAAGGGGAGGGGTTTACAATGATTGATAACTGGGGACAAACCATTCTGGGAATAGCAGGGGGACAACTGGAACAGACCAACTTAAATTTGACAACACCAAACAAACAGGCGGCAACAATCAGTGCCTCCTGTGCTTCTAGAGTACTGCACAGAAGTGCTGAAAGCTTAATCTGTCACACAAAAATCAAACAGTCTAATCTCATTCTGCCCAGCATGCCTAAAAAAGATGTTCAGGAACTGCTTTTAAAATGCTGAGTGTCAATGCATTATTTTAACAAAAGTGGAAAACAATATTTTTGATGGAACTTATTTTGATCTAGTTTACTGCCTTGTCTTGAAGCCTGTTGATAAGAACAGCCTGTCCTTGGGCTAAAAACTGAAGACATGATGTTTTTGTTAATCTTGTTAATCTCATTAGATATCTGCCCAGAAGTTACTTTACAACAAAATGAGTCAGAGTAGAATGGTTATGGATTTTTGTTAACTTCTGAGAGATTTTCCCTGGCTTTGGAGCATCCATAGCTACCAAAATGAAACAGTTTATACTCTGTCGAACCCTGTCAGGCCAGCATAGCTCACAATGTAAAGCAATTCAAACTGATTCAATAATGTGAAGGCTACCTTTAATTTGTTTGAATTGTATGGTGCATAGAGTGCTTTTTATACAGGAATAGCTTGACAGTTTAGGTTATTTAAATGGACTATTCACATTGAACTCAGTTGTTCAGTGGAACCATAAGTTCCACCTTACCACTATAAATGCAAGCAAGCATTTTTCACAGTTTCAGCTTGGGTACATTCCTTGCCCTTCACAGTGCAAACCATCCATCTGTTTTCTGGTGGAGAATGTAGACACAAACTGGGAAAAATTTCCTCTTCTGACACTACATATTCTTTGAGAAGATTATGAAGATTTTAGATTATAATATGGTGGGTTTGATGAAGACCATATAAAGTACAAAGTGTTTAAATGATGTTTGAGAGCACCAGTCCCCTTCCACATTCCCCCTTATGTTCCTGGCTCTCTCTACGCATGTGCCTGCTATATCATAAAATATATGATATTATAAAATATATGAATATATGAGAAAAAAAGTATAATGCAAAAGTATCAAAGGGGATACTGTGATATATTCTCCTTGCCTTTTTTATTACAAAATTTAAAAAGGGGAATGTGTAGTCTCTCACTATGTTGAGATTCAAAAGAACATTAATTTTCTTTCTGGGATTATGACTACTAAAATAATGAATTTCAAAGCACCAGTCCAAGTAGATGTCAGCCCTTTTATACCAAGAAAATTGTTGTATGGCAGAATCAGAATCTGTGCACATTGATACACTTTCTTTTCTAAAGGACCTCTCTTGGAGTTTGAAACACAGAGTGTGTGTCCTTGCTTCTGATGCTTAGCTCTGAGATCCAAGAGAACACTTAATTTCATACAAAATGAAATTTATGGGCATGTTTTCATGGTGTTACATGAAAACAACTGTTAAAGTTAGATAGAAAAGCTAAAAGTGTGAGTGTGTAAATTAGA